AAGGGTGCCAAGAATGTCGATAATACGTCTCGGATCGAGGGGAAATATCAAACCAAAGTTTTCTGCGTCACGTCCGCGCTGATTGAACAGTGTAAATCTGGACTTGGGGTCACAATCGTTTTTCGACGATAACGTGATATAACGCGCGCGTATAGAATTCGATGTACATTTTCGTGTGCTGTTATGGGAACGTGTCTAGATCACTTAAATCGCAAGAAACAGATATTGAAGACGAAAATAATACACATACGGTATTTCGACCCATCTGCCCTTATTAGGCCTTTAAAGCCGTAATTTTCAACTGACCGCAGAGTTCGGCCTTTATTCTTGCCGTCGGTATTGACAGGCATCCTCACCGCTATGTCCTTTACTACATCGCGTTTAATTTATAAAATCTCGTCCGCGTTATTATAATAATACATGCGTCGCGTCCTACGCGCATCGTCGTCATATACCGCGGCTATCGTCGCGATTTCTTTTCTGCGACTCGACTCGATAATATTAATATAATGCGCGCTGTATAGTTACGTCCCCGCGGGCTATACCGGGGCCCTTTACAGCGATAATCGATTATACCCGGTGACGAACTATTACGGAATCCGTAATATATATTATATTATATAGGTACATAAATTTAATATAAGTATACCCGGTACCACTACTACGCAAGCGCACCTGTGCGCGCCCGTGAGAACTCCCCTAAGACAAGTAGAATATTATATAGATAGACGGTCGAAGTGTGTGTGTGTGTGTGTAATGGACTGGTCGGATTCCACGGCCGTCATCGCATCGCCGTCGAGCACAAACATACAGGTATATATACCTAGGTGTACGTATATGTATATACGACCGGGCAAACAGCAGCATCGAGCAGGTGCATCAAGTCGAACATGATTTTTTTCCCTACCACCAAATCGGTTTTTTTTTTTTTTTTTTTTTTTACGGTATGTCCGCGTGACTCATGAGTCTATATTATTATACCGCGCTCCTCGCGTACCTATATGTATACATATATATATATATATATATATATATATACTCCTTTGATTTGATTTTTATTTTTTGTATTTTTTAACGTGGCTATTAGTGGTGTACGTGCTGCGTGTGTGTGTGTTTGTGTTACGCGGTATAACTACGACAGGGCCGCCGCTTTAAGTAAAACGATACACACACACACAAGCCGCCACGAAACTCGACAAAACGGTATTGTGTAATGTAACCGCGCGCGCGCGTGTGTGTGTGTGTGTGTATGTGTAAAGAGAGATAAAAAGGGAAAACCTCATCGTATAAGAGTCGAGTGAGGTTTTTTTTTCATATATATATACATACAATTAAATATATACGATATAGTAATTCTGTTTTTTGACCCCCCCCCCCCCGATATATTATATTATATTGTTATTGTATATACCGGCACGTATTATCTCGTATAGAAACGTTATAATGTTTCGGACCGCACACAGGTGTCGGGTCGCTTTGCAGTAGAGACTTTAACGGTGCGGTACGTCTACCTACGACCGACGAATTCCTCGACGACGCGGTATTTGGCTTTTTTTTTTTGTTTTGTTTTGTGAAAAGCGGTTCTCAATCTTTTACCCTTCTCCGATGACGGCGGCGATGACTGCGACCGTCATCACTGCACGCGATGGATTCCGTGCGAGTTGCAGTCGGAAAACGAATCCGTCCACTATACAATAATAATAACGTATACTGACTTTTTTAACCAGCTGATATTATATGCGTATGCGCTATGACTACTATATGGTGTTGCGAGTAGCAAAATTATGATTTGTTTATAAATCTCATTGTACGTTTACGAATGGAACGCCGTAGATAAAAGGCGACGATTCTTTTCAAGTACATTTTCGAACGTTTTTCGAAAACCCGATCAAATCCGTACGGGCTTTCCGGAAAAATAATTAAATTTCTATTTCCAATATGTCCTGGTAAATAACCCAAAGAACAACAATCCGTTTTCAAATACAATTCCTGCAGTTTCGTTCGACCGAAATAATATCCACCGTCATCGTTCCTCTCGACGAAAAACGCAATAAAATGTATTATTTCCTCGCTCCGTTCGCTTCGCTCGCAGAATCCTAAACTCAATACCGTGACATAATGTTATGAAAAAAAAGATAAAAAAAAAAAAAAAAATGGAGATTTTGATTTGATAAGTCGGCTTATGATACGAAACGTAGGTACGTCGCATTCGCCCGCAGAGATATTGTATAATAATAATAATAATAATATACACGATGACGGCGCGTTAATATATTATTATTATTATTATACGGTTGTTTTTTGTTGTCGAATTCCGCCGGAAATGAATTTCGATCCGAGGAGTTCACGATTTTCGGCTCGTCTAATAATAATAATAATAATAATAATTGTAAGGCAGTCGTGATTTACGATAAAAAAAAAAAAAAATGATGTATTATTGTTTGCGGTTTGCCGGCCGCGTGTCGACGGCTGTTTCAGACGTACCGCGGCGATGTGTATTTGGATACCTATGTGTACGACGACGACCGCCAGCATGATCCGAACTGGAAATAAGACAAAACGTTTTGTTTTTTTTTTTTTTCCCCCGTTTCGTACATAATAAAAAATAATAATTTTATCATCATATTATTATATTATATTGTATATACGCGTATCCGTCGTCCCACGATCGCAACCCCATCGTATCGTTTATAATTTCATCTGTATTTAATAGGTCGTTGATATATTATTATCGCGATCCGGAGGCGATAAATTTTCTCTCCGCGCCTTCTATTACAGGCATAATCAGTGACGGAGTGAGAAATATTCGGGTCCATTGCTGTCCTAGAAAATAATCTGCCCGAAATATTCGACATTTTTTCAATCGACCATATATAACCTATTTTTTTTTTTAGCGTTTCACTACAAATGTTCGGTTTTTTATATAAAATTCAGAGGATTCCGGACTTCTAGAAGCTTTTTCATGATATTATGATACTATCGATATCGTCAACATGTTGGAATATTTACAACAAAATGTTTCCATTAACCATGAAAATTCACCATAAAAAATAAAAAAAATCATAAAATGCCAGCCGGATGAGTGGGGTAACAAGAAAGGAAGAAAAAAGGAACAAGTAAAAGGTAGCACATGCGTGGCTTCGGTAGTAGAAAAATGAGAGCAAATAAATTTAGATGGATTTGACATTTCATGAGGAGAAAGGAATCAGAAGCAGTAAGCATGGAAATGAAAATAAACGTATGAGGAAAGAGAGGAAGAAGAAGACCAAAAACCTTGGATACGATTGTGAACGATGAGGATACTTAAGAACAGCCAATGTTTGCGAGGTGTAAGGTGCAATATAATCGAGTAAAAGTTTAGGTAGAGGGTGGTCGAAATCAGTCGGCTGGGATGATGGCGAAGGAGGAAAAGAAAAAGAAAAAGAAAAATTAAAAATATAAACCCGAGATTTATATTTCAAACTTAAAATTCTTGTCGAGTAAAATCTAGCACCACGCACGGTAGGATGTCAGGAAAATATATGGATCCTGGAATCCCGGCACGTGCAAGTCTATCGTTTGGTATTGTTCTAAAATTATGAAGACACGGAGACGGAGATGATAATTTTGTTCTGTTATACATTTTTTCTTTCAAATGCTTGAAAAATAAAACAGACACGGTTTATAAATAAGCCGTCGTGTTGTCCCGGTAAAGACACCGGACCACTTCGCTGCGGAACGATAGGGCAGTGGGCCAGTTCGCCGCTCTACTCCTACACAACCTAAAACCAAACTGTCCGAGGTCGCAGTTCAACAGACACGAAATATATTAAGGGAAAAAAATATATATGTATTATTGAAATAGCTAAACGGCCTGCCGTGATCGTGTTGTCGTGGCTCGGGGTCTACCGAATTTAATACCCATACCTAACCTACCCGCGATTGTAGCACCGTGTAAAAACGTTCTGCCGAAAACAAGTTAAGCGGGTTATCCGATTTCAAAGTAAAATATTACGTCTCGGTAGTGGTGGCGGGTTCCGTATACAATATAATTATACATGCGACGCTATTTTTTTATTTTATTTATTTTATTTTATTTTTTACACGAAACGCACGTGTTGTTTTAAATTTGGACTCGACCACGACGACGGTTGAGACGCGTGCATTAAACAATCGTTTTACCATTGTTGTTTTCGCTCTCGCTCCGACGATAGTACATCGCGGAAAAAATGTCGTGCGGTCAAATTAAATGGGAAATATTTCCCCAAGGACGAATTTATTTTCAAAAGCCCATATACTATATAACAACTGCATTCCTTAAAATAAAAAATAAAAAACACAAAACAAATAAGGAGAAATTAAAAAAAATATATATACATAAAAGTATATTAAATAAATACCTATTTAAAAAGCAAAAGCACTGTTTAAAAGTTTACAATACTAAACTGGTTTTAATTTTGAATATAAAACCAGACAAATACATATAAACAAATTCAAATTTTGAATTATTTAATACTCGTATAATGTACGAGTGTGATACCGTATTTGGTTATTATTTACACCAAATAGATAAATCGAATAGACAATTCTATGTCATTTCGTGAAATAAGCAAGTGAGTTGCTCAATTTAAAAAACGGTCAACAAATTGCCCATTTTGTGAATTCGACCTAGAAAATGCGGTCCGTATCACGAACTGGTAACTGGTATTTTCAGAAATATAATTCAATTCCGAACATGGCGTATACCTAATAACAGTAACGACAACACAAATTAATATATTGTACAGGTATAAATTATTGATGTTTTTTTTTTTTTTTTTGTTGATAAATGTTGAAAATATTATGCTTGTTACTAGTTTTTCTCAATTTATTAAATGGACAATTTATTGTCTTCTCGTCTTTTGTCCAATTCAATGGATTATCTATTTCAGCTGGTCATTTCACGAATTAAACAGATTCACCTCTGAGGTGTTACACACAGTTGGTGTTATTGACATCGGGAAATAACAATAATTACTATCCACTAACTTCACGAGATTTTTATTTATATAATATTATATACATATAAATTGCCTACATAGGTCCCCTAGAAATTGTATGTATTTTGTTGCGATACAACCCTTTAAAGTCGATTAACTTGTAGCAGAATGAACAAAATTGAATACAGCTCAAAACGTATACACTTATTAAATTATTACATTAATTCACAATCATACAGACGTTACTCTAAAACTTTATGTGAACATCATAAACTGTCTGGATCAAGTGCAGTACTGTTGAGTCTAACTCTAGGTCAGATATTCCATCACTCGAACAAATGTTATAGTCCATATGTCGTTTTATATTCTGAACGAGGAATGCATTGGTTTTACTATGATGTGTGTGAGTATGTGTATGCGTGTTTTTTGTATCTATTATCTATTTTTAATCGAAAATGTATAGACATTTTCTTATTGAATTTTTGATCTTTTTTGGTGTTTTGTTGGTTTCTGGTTATCTCGGCGAAAAATGAAAAATACGACTAATACTTTGCTCAGTATCGTTTTTCGTTAGCAACAGCTTATCGCTAAACGTATTCGAATTACTCTATACATCCTCTCTTACAACTTCCCTTCTGAAACAGTGGCACACGCGTTAGCAGCATTAGCGTTCAAAAAAAAAAATAAATAATAATTTGTAAAATATTTTATTTTCTTCTATGATTTCACGGTAACTTTAATATTCTATTGTGCACTGCCTACTAATACAGTATAACAAAACCATATATTTTTTTAAAGGAACCATCTCGACTGGTAGATTTAGTCACGCGGATAAATATATATATTTTCTTTTCTATTCGTCGTAGAATAATAAGCACCTGCATTTGTATTATCGTTGTCTCGGTCCTCGTTCGATTCCGCGCGTTAGAAATTTTTTCATGAAAAATATACTGCAATTGTTGCGCGGGAGTCTGTGCAGCAGCAGCAACAGTGCGATCCCCAGAAACGTGTACGAACGGGTTTTTAATATTTTATTTACAATCGATTACGCTGTCGATTAGTCGACAGAGTCGATCTATTAATCAATCAAAAGGTTTAAGTAAAAAAAAAAAAAAAAAAAGAATAAATAAATAACTATAAATAATTTTAACGTCCTCTCAAACATAAAAATATTATTAGCAGCCGGGTTCGTGTATAGATTAACCTTTTGTGTTTAAACATTATGGTCAATAGTTGTATAGAACAGAGGAAAGGAGTGGAATAGGTATTCCGTATATAACATTGCAGTGTCTCGTGTTAAACTTTGGCTCCTCGTTTACCTACCATTCAATCGGCCTGAGTGCGTGTATTGATTAATTTGTTCTTCGTTACCTGCGAAAAAAAAAATATATGAACATCACGAGACCATTAATCAGTCGGTCTCGAAACTCAATCGTGATCGTGTGTGTTATGTGATTTGTTTTTTTTTTCCAAATATAATAATACTTGCGCACTGAAAAATAAAAACTTATTATTCCGACGGAATACGTTTCAACAATCCGGTTTTCCAAATTCCTTTTTCGCTCGGGCAACCTCCTCGTCACTCGTCGCCGTGTTCTTATTTTACTTCTGTAACTTTTATAGCCAATTTTAAAACCTTTGCTGCTTCCACGTAGTCTTCACGTGTACTCCCACTCTTCTGTTCTATCCTCGTTCCCACACTGCGCACATTATTCAAACTTTGTCTTCAGTGTATCCATCCGACTTTGCCTGGGGTGGACTCTAGATTTTCTTCTCAAAACCATTTTCAATTTGCACACCTCATTATCTATTCGGTTATGGCCTGCTCAGTCCATTATTTTACTTTTGATTGTTCTATGTTTGGCATTATCCATTGTATACAACAAAACCACCATAAATACATCGGATTAGGAAAAAACGGAACCTCCGATATGCCCTTCATGCAACGCAAACATCACGATAAAACACATAATCATCCACTGTCCAATATTTACAGGGGCCACAGAAGAATGTCAAATTCCAGACAACCTGTACGAAGCAATAGGACTCTATTCTGATATAAAAAATAATGATTACTTACTTAAAAAAAATTGAAATATATAAACTGTTAAAATAACTGTAAGCTAATAATCTTGTAATTGATGTTGAAACAATAAATAACAATAATAATAAAAAAAAAAAATACGTCGGAGTATATATTCCTTTCAAAGGTCGTCTCCTAATCGTCATTGTTAACCAACCATATTTCGCGCCCATACGATCGAACGACTGTTCTTAGGTTGCTCGAGTTTAAGCTTGTCTTCTGGTTTTCTAGACAGAAGTTGCCGCCATGTTAGCTAAATAATAACGATTGATTAAAAAACAAATCGAAGAATATTACAAAACCCACGGATCTCCGCGATAACGGGACATGTGTGCTGGGTAAGGTGTTTTGAGCCGCGGAACTCGAAATTTTAACGATTTTGATACCGACATCCATTTCGTTATTTTCCATATGTGGGGAAACGGTATGTACATCAATAATAATATGGCGTTTCGATTCCCACATGTTTGCCGCAAACATATGCAACACACCGAGTCCTGTTGTAACCTCCCGACGACGACCCTACACCGCGGCGCGGATATATTCGACTATTTGACGAGCTAAAAACTATATAAAACATTATATTGGATTTTATTTTTTTTCACAACAATAATCGACCCCCGAGAGATGATGCGGCCCAATGGTTTTGGAATAACGACAACGACGACGGCGTCACTACAGATGTTTGTAAGTTAACTGCTACAGCAGTCACACACCTGTCCGGCGCATGTATATATAATACAAACCAGCCGTCGTCGTTACAAACCTTTGAACGACTGTTAAATCGATTAAAAACTAAGTATACGGTTATTTTATTGTATTTATTAAGAAAAATGATTGTTTCGACCCAATTAAACTCGAATTCGTTTCTATTATTATGTTATGTGTATCGACGAGCTGTGCGGCAACCCGCACTCGCGGGAAGATAAATAAGGTTCGTCAGAGTGCGTGCAATCATGATTTATTTTGTTTTCCTAACGAAACAGAATATAATATAAACGAGAAGACTTTACGCACAACCTACGCCACTCGAGCCAATCCAATTCTTGCGCAGCAGTTTTGCGTGAGATTGCAATCTTGCGACTTCCTCAACTCGCGACGACCGACGGTGGTGGTGGGGCAGTCACGTTCTGATCGACCACTCCGTATACGTCACACGATCCTCTCTGTTGCACGCCACTGGCCGCCGCTACCGACAAAAGGACAATATTATTATATTATGTACGGTACATGAAAATTGAAATTCGTTTTTCTCTTTTCCGTTATCTTCATTAGGACGTATAATCATTTACGCGATTAATAATGCGTTCGATTTGGTATATTATGTCTAGCTAATTGTATTATACAGGTTCGAAACACAAAGAAATATAGAAATAAAAGAGCTAATCCTGCTGATGGGCGTGTTACTGTTGACAACGGACTAGTTTTAGTCGGAAAGTTGAAAAAGTAGGATACGTAATAGTATTAATTTATTTATATCGGTACGTATATCATCACTGCAATTTTATTATAAGTCGTATTTTTCTTCTTGTCGGCTGCAAGGTAACTCGAAAATCGTATGGAAAATGTTCAGTTTTTCCCGTTTATTAAGAAAACTACAAGGTAAATAAAAAAAAAAACATCTCCTCAATGCATCAACTAGATCAAAAATTCTACAAAAAAATACCCACATAATTTTTTATTAGTGCAAGATTTATCGTGGAAAAGTTGTTAAACGAGACAGAAAATGAAAATAAAACATATCATAATAAAACCGATACATTCATCAATTTAGTCTGAATCTAAAAGTACTGAGCGAAAAAGCTGTGGTCGTTAACTACTCATTTACTAATGATTTTATAATTTAGTTTTTAGTGTTTCTAGAAATGTTTACAATATATCGAAAAAATTTAAAAATTAAATAGTAACGTAGTAAAACCAATACAGTCCTCGCTTCACTTAGAATCTACATTATAAAGTGTCATTCAAAGTAACGCCGGATTTGAATTACGCGTTATTTTCGTTGGAGTTTGTAGACTTGGTATTAAGATTTGTATCAACAAAAAAAAATTTATTTTTTATTTATACTTAGGTTTATCCATTGAATGCGATTCAATTGCTCAACGCGTTCAAGTGTTTACAATTCATTATAAACAAGGTGTATGCTTCACAGAAACGGTTCCCAGGCCCCATGCATTGTTCGGTCAACTGCATACACTGAATGAATCAACAGTCCGAACATTAGTGAAAAGTTTGAAGAATCAAATTCCGTCGGAAATGCAAAAAAAAAGTGGTTTTAGCAGGACGTCATACCACACGTGAAACAATAGCATTGCTGCATGAGAAATTCCCGCGCCGATTGCTCTCCCGAAATGGCGACCAGAATTAGCAATCACAGTCCTGTGACCCGAACCCTTGTGATTTTTTTATGTGAGTACGTCAAGTCAAAGGTATATGCAAATGTACATAAAACAACAACACAACTCTTGAAAACATTTTCGTTGAGCAATAGCAACTCTCGATGAAGACATTTTGCAAAAAATTTATATCTAATTTTCTAAATTATGCACATTTGGCAGATATTGATTTTAATTGTTATTTTCAAACAAGATATTTTAGATTCATTTTCCTTAAAAGCACAAACAAATTTTATCTATACTGATTTTAATAAAGCATTTGACCAAATCGATCGCAACTTATTAATTCTCAAATTAAAAATAATATTCGACTATAATGATCCACTCTTATCATTGTTCGGTATCATTGAAACGGTTTTCATCATATTTGGGAAAAACCGGAATAAAATGTCGGAAAAACGGTGCAATTTTAAATAAATATTATTAAAGAAAATATATAATACCTATTTAATTATTTTACCATAATATGACAAATTATGCTGCACCCATCCCCATTATCCTAGGACGTCTTTTTATTATTTGTTTTATTTTTTTATTTTATTATATAGATTTTTTTACCATTTATATAATAACGTCGCAACAGTTTTTATGCGGAATCGTGTTACATTATTACGGCCAGATAAAAAACATCTTTAATATTATGAAAATGTGCGAAATCGAGTAGATAAAAACGTATATTGTGCGGAATCGTGTATTTACTAATGATATTACAAACGCAACATGAAATTATTTTTTATATATTCAATAGGTATCTGATATCTAGTTTTATTACTATGGTTTTTTATACAAATATTACAATTTTACAGGTGTAACTATCCCACTCAATGCGTAACGAATATTAGTTAAACATATTTTGATTATATATGATGTACATGCAGTAGCGGCTCGCTACTGCATGTACAATACGTACAGTTAATTCAGAAAACAGAAACTAAATCAAATATCATATTGAAATATGAATATATTCATATTTGTTTCATTCGTGAAGTTCTTAGACAAAAAGATCAACAATTTATTGGGGAATTATGTTTGTTTTTGTTATATATTACTAGACATTATTGAATTAAAGCCCCCGGTAGAATCATAAATAAAAATGTCCATCAACTCTAAAGTCATAAAGAATACTCACAATGATGAAGAAGAAAAACTATCAAATTTTGGCATGCAGAATCACACGAAACACGAGTAGAAGAGTATTATAAGTTGTACATAATTAATATTTTTATTTTTGTTGATAATATTGTCTAGTAAAAAATCATCAAATATCAAAA